GCCATGGGGAGGGGAATATAAGCAGAGCAGAGAGAATCCCCAGGAAAGACCGAAAAAAAAAAAAAGGAAAAAAAAGCCAGGGTGCAGGGAGGAAAGATGGAGAGAGAGAAGTGAGCATTATTCGTGAGAGACAAAAAAGTAGAAACAATGCATTTGTGCATCAGTTGATGAACGTATGAACACAGTGTGGAAGGCCAGTGCCCAGTCTTATTTTTCAGCCATAAAAAGACTGAAGTGCTGGTACAGGCTACAATACGGGTGAAGCTGGAAAACACTAAGGCAAGTGAAAGAAGCCAGACACAAAAGGCCACACGTTGTACGATTCAATTATATGAAACATCCAGAATAGGCAAATCTATAGAGACAGAGAGTAGATCAGTGGTTGCCAGGGGCTGGAGTTCGGGGAAAATGAGGAGGGTCTGATAATGGGCACAGAGTTTCTTTCTTTTGGGGGTCATGGAAAGGTTCTAAAATTGGTGGTGGTGATGGTGGCACTATTTCTGTGAATAGACTGAAAACCACTGAACTGTATCCTTTCAAAGGGTGAATTCTAGAGTATCTGAATTATATAGCAATAAAGCTGCTATATTAAAACAGAATTTTTTTAAAAAAAGAAAAAATAATTCTTGTCTTCAGTCCAGTAACAGGATTACAGTAAGCTAGGACAATGGTGATTTTTCCAGTCTCTATCCATACCTTCACTTTCAAAGGGCCTGTGACAGAGAACTTGGTCTGTCACTGTGAGTCTTCCACAAAAACCCTTTCTAACTGGCAGATGGGAGAAATGTTCTGGATAGCAGATCAAAGGCCCTTCCAAACGAATATAACCATAATGGGGAACTTAATTCAAATAACTTCAAAAATTAACAAACATTTAAAAAATCCTCTAGGATCAGATATCCAAATCCTATGCAAAGGAGCTTAAGTGGGCTCATTTCTTTTGTTTTCATCAAGTCTTTATAGTCTGTCAAGATTTTGCCAAAAAAAAAAAAGATACAAATTCCTGTTTGAACAACAAAAGAGATTTTGCTGCTATTGAATGCTTAAAAGATGTGTTGCTCTTTCAAAGAAACACCATTTTTCTTTTGAAAGATAAATCCTTTGAAGAATGCAAATCTTCACATTTCAATGAGACATGAAAAGTTGTATTTGTTCTTATCTTTTTTCCCTTTTGTATTGATTCTCCTTTAAATATGACTGTGATGCTAGAAATAGCTCAATCAACTAGAATCAGATTATAGTGCTTTATGGTTCAATATTATATTGATAAAGGTCCATTCATAATTGTCCAACATTCTCAACATCTCAGGCAGTAAAATAAAGACTTTGAATGTAAATGTGTATCAAACCAATTCAGGATGCATCCACAGACACCGCCACAGGCAAGGCTCTTTACAAGGCCCTGAGGGAAATTCAGAAACAAAGGCGTGGTGGTCCCCAGGTGGGGCTGACAACCTATGGGAGCACAGGTCCTTGCTCATAAAGACCCACAGCCTAGGAGAAGGGGAGATCAGGGCCAGAACAGAGGTGAGACCTAGCACTGTGGGAAAAAAGGACCTAAGAAAGGCAAAATCAGCAAGGAGGATGACTCGGAGTTTTTATTCAAGGCCCATGTTTTCCTTATTTTATGTCTGAAGTGTTTTTTTCTTTTCTGGCTATTTACGTGCACAGAGCAATACATGATTTCAATCAAACTATGGTTTAAAATTTTACTACAGTTCTTCCGAGTTGCTCTTAAAACCAGCGCCTTCCTTCACGTTTTGTAGAGAGGTGGTTTGCTTTGTCAGATGGCTGAGGAGCAATGCCTCTCTCATCTTACTCAGGAAGAAGAATAAATGGCAGCTCTTTTAACAAGTTTCTTTCACACGGGGAACCAGTAAGCAAAACTGTTTCACATTAAAGCTGCAACCATCTCACAGGAGAAAAAAGAAGGGCATAATTAAACAAAGCAGGGCAAGTGGCACATTTCAGGATGGTACTAAAGATCTGGGTTTGACGGTAACATCAAGTGTATAACCTCAGGCCAGACTCAAGCTCTCGGAACCAGTTTCCTCATTAAAAATGAGGACAAAACTATCTGCCCATTATAATGAGAGACAAGGAACTGCATCTAAAAGGCGTATCCTATCGCCTGGTATGTAGCAAACACCTAAGAAGGGACAGTGCTACCACTGTTATCATTAATGTCACTGTTGTTGCAAGTGCAAAAAGCATCTCGCCACCAAAGCGGGGAGAAAACAGGTTTTTGGCTCAAGAGGAACTGTCTTCAAGACGCTGTACCTCATCACACCTAAGTAGCTTCCTTCACTCCTGGGCCTGACTCGTACGATGGCATTCTGGATACTGAACTGACGCTACGAAGGATGAGACGTGGCGGACCGCTGGTGGAGGTGTTTCCTGCATGTGGGAGAGGCATAGACCATCAGAGGCCAGAGAGCCGGCGGCAGCAGCCAGCCTCCCAGACGCCCTCCCCCAGCGGCGACCTTCGCCGCCGGGCGTTCGGTAACGCCCTTGCGCGGTTCCCTCCCGCCCCGAGTCAGGGCTAACGTGTGACTGGGAGAACGCTGAAGGCGTAAAACGTTTTCAGCTATATTGTGAAAGGCACTCCCGCTTCCCCCTTGATCTCCGGGATCACTCGCTCTGGGGAAAGCCACCCACCACGTGGTAACACTCAGGCAGCCTTGTACAGAGACCGCACGGGGGAAACTGAGGCCTCCTGCCACACCAGCTTATTAGCTACACG